ACCTCCTCGTGGATCGAAAGCCTGCTTGACCTCGGATTGGGGCCTTCTCTTTTGTTTGACTGGCCGGAATTTTGGGTCTGTGCTCAACTTGTGAGTCGTGACCTCAGGGGGTATGCCTGTCATATCCAAATGGGACCAAGCAAACACATCCTCGTTAGCAGTAAGAAAAGAAAGCAAATTTTTCCTGAGCTCGGTAGTTAAACCCGAGCCCAGGTATACCTTTCGGTCTGGCGCACTCGAACGAATAGGGATCTGTTCCAGCTCTTCGACTGTTGATTTGGTGGCATCGGACTCATCCGGAGTCACGAAAGACCGGGGAAGAAAGAGGTCTTCCCCGAAGGTAGATTCTGGTTCAGCCTCTTTTACCGGAGGCTTACACTTTGACTGCTATTTTGCCCTGGACACCTCATCTACTGCGAACATCTCTCTTGCGGCGCATTGCTCCCCGTACACAGTGATGACCCCCTCGGCAGATGGGAATTTCAGCATTTGGTGCAGCGTGGACGGTACGGCCCCGATGTCGTGTATCCAAGGTCTTCCGAGCAGGGCGTTGTACCTCATATCGCCCTTGATAACACAGAACTTGGTCGCTTTTGTAACTCCGCCCACGTCGATCATCAGAGTTATTTCCCCTCGTGTTGTCTCCGTAGCCATATTAAATCCATTCAATACTCTTACCTCAGAAATTATCTGCCCTGTCAGTCCCAACTGTTCGACGACCCACGACCGAATTATGTTAGCCGAGCTTCCGGGATCGACCAAGACACGCTTGACTTTAGTGTCTCGGACCATCATGGATATTACCAAAGCGTCGTTATGGGGTTGTGCTGGTCCATCGATTTCCTCGTTGCTAAAACATAGTGTTCCCTCTGGTGCATAATCCCTGATCCGCTTCTCCCTTGTGATCGATATCTTGGTACGTTTCAGTATTGGTACTTGAGGTGCGTCTTCCCCTCCAATTATCATGTTTATGGTGTGCCGGGGTTCCTTCCTATCGGCTGGTCGATCTCGATTTTCGTAATGATTTTTGGCCCGATCACTGAGAAATTCTCGAAGGTAACCTTCATCGAGCAACCGGGCAACTTCCTCCCGCAGTTGCCTGCAATCTTCGGTTCTGTGGCCATGTGTGTTGTGGTACTTACATATTAACTTGGGATCCCTCCTCGATGGATCGGACTGTACGGGTTTGGGCCATCGGGCTTCTTTGATACGTCCGATCGCCGACACCAGTGTAGCCGAATCGACACTGAAATTATATTCAGCTAATCGGGGTGCTTCCTGTCTATCGACGGCTTTCCCGAGGTTGGCCTTCGGTAACGGTCTTCTGTTCCTCTCATAGCCGCGGTCGTTCCTCGCAAATTTAGGCCTCCTATCATCCTGATACGGCCGATATCTTTCCTTGTTCGGTCTCGAATCTTTGTAGTTTTCCCTACGAGGTCGATCGAAATTCCTATGTGTGGATGGTGAATCCGAACTTGCTCCGCTGTGGTCGTCCTCTACCCTTATCTTCGATTGGTACCGGTTATGGATGTCTGCCCACGTAACTGCTGGAAACTCGATCAGACTTTGCTTTAATTGCCTGGATGCGGCAACAATCCTTGAGTGAAGGCTTGTACTGCCCAGTCATCCGTGACTGGGGGAAGATCCATCCTCTCCATTTGAAATCGAGACACAAATTCCCGGAGTGTCTCGTTTATGCGCTGTCGGACCTTGAATAGGTCGGATTTCCTTGTTTCTACCCTGATCGCCCCGGCGTGAGCTTTCACGAAGGCATCGGCTAACATGGCGAACGAATCGATGGAATTTGGCGGTAAGTTATGATACCACGTCATTGCCCCCTTGGACAAGGTTTCTCCAAACTTTTTCAACAAAACTGACTCAATTTCATCATCTTCGAGATCGTTTCCCTTAATCGCGCATGTGTATGCTGTCACATGCTCGTTTGGGTCCGAGGTCCCATTATACTTCGGGATATCGGGCATTCTAAATTTCTTAGGGATAGTTTTGGGGCGGCACTGGATGGGAACGGTTTTTGTACAAACTTTTTAGCGTCAAGGCCTTTCAGGACCGGAGGTGCACCTGGTATTTGGTCGACCCTGGAGTTGTATGTTTCTACTTTTTTATTGTTGGCCTCGATCTTTTCCTCCCCCTTTTTGATTCGTTCGGTCAATTCTTCTAGCCTCCTAAGAACCGCAGAATCAGCATCCGGCCCACCCCGTTCCGGCTGTACTGGGGTCGGATTGATGATTGCAGCTGCACGGGGAGCCTTCTCGGACCTGACAGGCTCCTGGACCCGGCTCTGGAGCTGAGCTATAGCCGATTGCTGGGCTTGCAGCATGTCAAAAATCATTTTAAGGTTGATAGTCTCTTCGCCGACTGCCTGGGCCCTCGAATCGTCCTCTCCCCGGACGCTATGTGATGATCCGGAGGCCTGATCAGTGTTGAGCGCCATCCGGGAACCGGCATCTATCGGGTTTTCGAGCCCGGGCATTCCATTGTTTCCTGTCTGCTGTTCAAGTTCGTTGTTAATTGATTGTGCCATTCTATGAGTTGGTAATTTGAATGTAAGATGGACTCTTTTGCAAAGAACCAGTGTATTGTGATGCGTCAAGAAAGAGTATCAAAGAGCTCACTAATATCCTTAGCCCCACGGTGGGCGCCAAACTGTTTACCCTGGAATCCGGATAACAATTGAATTTATATGGGGTTTTAAGGATCCGTGAACTAAAAGATACAAAAGGTTTGGATTGAGGAAAATAAAAGATAAAGACTCAACAATTGCTGTTAAAGTAAATAATCGCAGAATATAATATTGCTTAGAACAATTGTGCTTGATAGCGTACAAGAATTGAGAGAGATGGTACTGTAGTGTAATGGTTTCCGATCCCCTCTTTATGGGGTCTTCTCCCCTTTTATACATTCTGATTAAGGGTAAAAATAAGGTAGGTAAATTAATTACATCGTGGATCCCTGTAATTACGCCTTAATGGCCTGAAGTGGTTGAGAAAATCACGTTTGGGCGAGATATCCGGCGACGCTTGGTTATCCGTTACGAGTCCGGCTTCCGACCTTGTGTGTTTCTCCATCCGGTGGTGACTCATATCGAGCTCTGCAACGGTCTCGAAATGACTCGACCTCGGTTGTTGACGTGGCCGTCGTTCTACCTTGCATCCAGGTCGGGTTCGATGGCCCCGACTTGCCCCGGACCGGACCCAACCCGGTCGGGCTCAAGCAAAAAAGGGTATCACCCAATACATTAGGTAAACTCCTTTAAAAGAAAAAAGAGTTATTACGGGAGATTTGGAAGACTACCTAAATTGAAAGCCCTTTTGCTTCAACCATGAACCAAGTGAAACAAAAAGTATGACCTTTTTGTGGGGTGTTTTACTTTTCAAATCACGGGGTAAGATGTCCATGAAAAGTCGTGAACCGATTGTTTTTGAAAAATAAATAGAAAGGTTCTAAATATATAGAAAATAATTGATTGATTAATTGCAATATTTTTTTGTATAGTAATGCATAGTAAATATGTTCAATACTATGACTAGTGAATTGCTTGAATTAGTTAAAGATGAGATCATGTGTGTATTAGTAGATAAGAAACATGTATTAGTGAAAAGAGGTTGAACAAGTGAGGTTTTTATCTCAAATTTTTTAATTACGCTTGCTCGAATTGAGGCAAAAAAAACTCTAACCATATAAAAAGGAAGCCTTTTTTTTTTTAGAAATAAGGAAACTTTAGTTGTTTGTAGAAAAAGATCAAGTGAGCATCTATCGTGCATACATTTTACCTCCTATTTTTTTCTCCATGTATCATGATGCTATCAAAAGTCAAATTGATTTAAGAAAAAATCAAAGAAAGCTTAGAATATCTAGAGCAAAAATAAAATATGAAATATTACTTTTATTTCATTTTAAATGACGATCTTTGAAACTCATACCAAAAATATCTTTGGTACCTGTGGTCATAAATTGAAAACTAGTTTTTAGTAAATTTTTGGAATATAATATTGGACAAAATCTTGGATTAATTTTTGAACCAAAAGTCATTTATAACTTTTGTTGGTTTGTAAGAAACCTACTTTTTGATTGTTTTTGATTTCTGAAACTTTTTTTTAGTGATATTCGAAAATTAAATTTTACTTCTAAAATATCTCAAAAAAAATTCTAAACCAAACAGCTTTGGAAGAGAAGTAATTTCGAATATTCAATTATTCAATCATTAATGCGTAAAAGAAAAAACAAATCATCATTCCCGGACTGAATTACTGAAAGAATGTAAGGGTAAAACGTTACTACTTGAAACCTTAGGGGTGCTTAATGTGATTAACAAAACTAAAGTCCATACATATATTGGGCCAGGATCCTCCATCGGCCCAATTACCTTCCCGGTCAAACCCCGCCGTCCAAGACTTCTCACTCAACCGAAAAACGGCGGCGACGGTCAGCAGCAAGCTCAGTTAGCGGTGTTTTCCGGAGAGAATACAGCTAAGATATGGAAAATGAGAAGAAAATAGAGAGCTATGTGGTGGTACACAACATAGCAAAGAGACACAATGTTGGAACCCTAGCTCGTAGCGCGACTGCGTTCGGCGTCTCCGAGATGATACTAGTCGGCCGTCGAGATTTCAACGCCTTCGGTAGCCACGGCTCTACCTCTCACGTCCGGTTCCGCCACTTCCACTCCCTCACCGATGCTAAAACTTTCCTCAAGGTATTCAAAAAATCCCAAAAATAAGAAATATAAACTTATTTTATGTACATTTGAAATATTTTATGTTATTCGAAAGCTAAAAGCAGATGTTATTTTGTTCATTTTTTAATTTTACTGAACAGGAAAGAGATTGTGATATATGTGGAGTTGAAATTACAGAAAATGCGGTGGCAGTAAATGAGCATCCTTTTAAAAGAAGTACTGCTTTCCTGCTGGGAAATGAGGTTGTGAATCTATAGTATCTTTTTCGGCATTATTTTAAAATTTTTGAATGTTGGTGACAATTTTGTAATGAAAACAATAAAAAAACAAATGATCCATGTAAGATACATGTTTACCTCGAAAATACTAGTAACAATTAAATTTGATTTGTGGTTTTAAAGATACGTGATCTAATTCAATACCGATTAATGGTCAAGAAGTATGAAGTAGAAATGAAGGAGAAAAGTGATTCAAACCAATGTTACTCAGCAACAGTGACCTCGAGCTCAGGGACCTCGAGGTAGGCTTGATATAATAAGAACAATAAATAAAGCAAAGTAAGAACAATAGAGCTAAAGGACAATGCTGATGAAAAGCATGCGAAAAGGTAGAGTATATTCTTTTCTCAGTGGTCAGATGGGGTTACAAATGATTGGGGTTCCCCTTTTTATAACAGGGGAACCCTAAATAAGGAATATTTCTATTTACAGTAGGGAATATTCTTGTTACAGCTGTCTAACCGCCTAGTACGGAATCGTACGATCTTATTCCCGGGATTTGCGCCATGATCTTAGGGACGTGGCAGGAATCTAGTTCATTCTGTGACAAATCCACAACGGTACTATTTCGGGGTCGAGCACACTTGGCCTCGGTATTCCTCGAACTCCTGTCTCCGGGCATTACACTCTGTCTTCGAGCTCGAGTCTGGTCCACCGGTTTCGAACTTGACCTCTCCCGGACTTGGGCCTAGGGCGAAACCTCGAGCTTATAAATGGGGGCATATGATTTTGACCGTATACAATACATATAACAAGTAATCGGGAATTAGGACTTATCTGTTGTTGTTACAGTTATATAGAGTCTAAGTGTTTGTGACGAGTGTTTCTGGTCCAGTTTGAGACTTTTATTTCAGCATAGGGACAAGTGTTAGATTTATTGAACCTATAGTTTTAGTCCTAATTGCCTTATAGGACAAATATATAGTATTAGAATAGAATGAGCCTGAATAGAGCAGAATGGGTAAAAAGATTCACATAGCCCATCCCTACTAGTTCAAGATTGATGTGTGGTTGATTGATGTTAAATGGTGTTCACATTTTAATCAAATGATGCTCTTTCCTCAACCAGAATATAGTACAATAAGAACTCTAAGCAATTTCTGAAAGTTTTGCTTAGAGGTGTTAGTAATTACTCGTTCTTTCTTATGGGCGGGAAATATGTTACTGACTTCTGGATGGTTTTTGGTCGTCATCTGTTTTGGAAATAAGTATTAGGGTTGGAAAGTAATTCGCCTATTGATATTTGTTTGCATAAATTGGTGTTGTAGGGTACTGGACTTTCTGCAAAAGAGTGTGAGATATGTGATTTCTTTGTGTATATTCCACAATATGGGTGTGGTACTGCTTCGTTGAATGTGACAGTCGCTGCTTCCATTGTTCTACATCAATTTGGAGGTAATTTCTATAGAAAATCACTGCTTCTCCTTTAATCTTATTTTTCCTATTCTGTTTTTGGTGACTGTTCCCATATACTCGTGTTTTCTAAGATCTTCTTTGGGGGTTGAGGGCCAACTCATTTAGTGAGCTCCCTGCCTTCCACAGTTGAGGTGGAGGGTTCAAACCCCATCATTAGCGTAGCATCC